TTTTTTTTTTTTTGTTGTTGTTTTTTTTTGAAATAGGGTTTTGCTGTCTAGCCCAGAGTGACCTTGAAAGTTTGATGCTCCTGTCTTACCCTCCTGAATGCTGAGATTAAAGCATGTGCCATCACACCTCCCTTTGTTTGTTTGTTTGGGGTACTGGGGATGGGGATCAAACCTCAGGACCTTGTGCTTGGCTTGCAAGGCAGGCAGCAGCACTACTGAGCTAAATCCCCAGACCTGTTTGTTTTTTGAAACAGGATCTTGCTGTGTAGTCCAGGCTGGCCTTGAATTGAATTCAAGATCTTCCTGCTTCAGCCGTCTGAGTGCTGGGATTATAGGAATGTGCCACCACACCCAGCTTCTTTTCCTATGTTTTCAAAACAGACTTTCATAAGATTTTTTTTTTTTGGTACCAGGTATCAAAGTTGGATCCTTGCACTTGTAAAGCAGGTGGCAGCACCACTGAGCTAAGTCCCCATCTCTTTCATAAGATTTTTTTATTGTCCTTTTTTTTTTCTTTTTTCTTTTCCCCAGAAAAAGCTTTAAGTGGAAAGTAAGAGAGAAGACTTCAACTTGAATAGTTGGAGGGGAAACATCTTATGCAAGAAAGCAGCCTGGTCCACTTGGAGCTGGTTTATAGGGTTAGCTGAGATGGGCCAGGTTCCAGTCAATTATTATCTTTTTTGGGGTGGGGGGGAGGGTACCAGGGATCAAACCCAGGACCTTGCGCTTGCGAGGCAAATGGCAGAACCACTGAGCTAATTCCATGGCCCTGTCAACTATTATCTTAGTTCTAGTTGCATAGATCAGGTTGAATCCTTGTGACTTGGGAGGCAATTCGGTCCCCATGGAAGGACTGTCTCTGTGGTAGTTTCAGAAATATGGGCTTTGCTTTTCCTGGAATACAGGTGACCACAGGATAAGATAATGGCTGGAGACTCTGGACATAGTTGAATGTCCATATGAGTCCCTTATCTGGGTGTCTTGTCTGTCCAGTGCCCATATTGTGAATACTCCATCAGTTTCAGAGTCTGGAGAATCCTGTTGTAGTCCACAAGAGCCCCATATTGAATGCTCAAAAACTGCTGGCTAGTATGGCTCCTTGCTTTAGTCATAATGGAATTAAAACTAAAGTATGAATTTATAGAAAAGGCTTTAATTAGGTCATCATGGTTGTGCATGCCTGTAATCCCAGCACTCTGGAAAGTGATGCAGAAGGAACACCAGGATGCAGGAGCCCAGTTTGGGCTACATAGTGAGTCCAGGACCAGCATGACCTACAGAGCAAGACCCTGTCTTCAAACAAACAAACAAACAAACAAACAAAAAAAGAAAGAAAAGGCTTTTTGGGAAGAAGATAGGAAAGACTTCTGCTTGAGTAGTTGGAGGGGACAGGTGCTGATGGAGAGGGTCAGACTGGCCCTAGTGTTTCATTTAAACCAAAAGGAAACATGACTCATTCTCCAGCTATCTTCTGGATGATGAGGCCATTTTACAGGTGAGGTTGTAGAGTCCCAGTGAGGCATGAACTTGTCTAGGTCTCCCTGACACTCAGAACAAGCTTGTAAGATGGGTACCTGCTCCTTTACATGGTTGTCTGTATTCTCTTTGGCCTATATTGCTACATGTCTGAAAATGACTTGTGTTGAAGACATGGTGATCCAACAGGCTTTCTCTCTGCAGGTGCCAGTGTTGAGGTAAACAGAGCTTCCAAAGAAGTAGGATGCCTGGACACACCTGGCCAGGGGCCACTCTGCCAGAATGGGTCCACGCCACAGTTCCCAGACTCGCCATTATTTCTTGATCCCACCACAAGCTCAATGAGTCCTGATGCCTCTCCAGGTGTGGCTGGTTTCCATGACAACCTAAGGAAGTCCCAGGGAACTAGTACTGAGGGCAGTGTTAGAAAAGAAGCTTTGCATTCTCTCAGACTCAGTCTTCCCATGCAAGAAACGCAACTGTGTAAGCATCCATCCTGCCAACTCTCCCCAACCCTTCTGTCCCTGTCCTCTGCTCACACCCTGAGCAGCCCTCAGGAGCTTCCCCGGTGCTACCTTAACATGGGGGAAGTGGGTAGGGAGCAGCAGAGGGTGCATCCAATGAAACAGCTTTGTCGGAGTAGTGGGAGTTGGACCTCCACTGTGGTCTGGTACTGGCATTAATGCCAGAGTTCCTGATTAAGGGGCCAACAAGCAGGATTGGTGTTGAGAAGCATTTATTTTTGTGCTGATGTCTCAGGGTTCAGAGATGAACAAGCCCCACTTTTACAGCCTGTGAGCCCTGGAAACCTCTAGACATTTTTCTGAGCCTTGGGTGTGGGTTGGTTTTTGTTTTGTTTTGTTTTTTGTCACCCGGGGGATTGAACCCAGACAGCACTGAGCTACATGCCCAGCCCTGTGGGGGGTGGGGGGCAGATTAGACAGATAGCTATTGAGGGTTGGACCCAGGGCCCACACACTGAACTGTATCTGTAGCCTTTTTTATATTTTTTTAAGATAGAGTCTTGCTAAGTTGAATAGTTCCCTAGGCCAATCTCAAACTTGCAAGCCTCCTGCCTCAGCCTCCCAGAATGTTGAGATCACAGGTTTTTGTTCCCACACCCAATCCTGAGCCTTGTTTCTTGTTGTTTTGTTTTTTTGTTTTTTTTGTATCAGAGATTGAACTTGGGACCTTGTGCTTGTGAGAAAGGTGTCGGAACCACTGAGCTAAATCCTTGGCCTGCCTTGTTTTTAATAGTATGGTTTACCTAATGTAATTATACTCCCTCATACCCCTATGTAACCTCATTCCTGCCCTCCTGTAAGACATGTTAGCACAAGATCTTTGCAGACTTCTATAAACGTATGTAGGGTTTTGGTCATTGTTTTGGTAAGTGGGAATATATCGTGATTGCATGTTTCCCACTTGGCTGAACTGCATAAATGTGGCTCCTTGCTGCTTGGTTATTTTAGTCTCTGTGGGCCAGTGTGGCAGTGCCAGCCCTCTGCAATGGCTCCTGCCTGCTGTGTTTCTGGTCTGTGGCCAGAATCTGGGTATGCAGGTCTTTGGGCTTTTGGGTTTCCTTCTCTATGGACCTTGCACATAGAGACACCCTGGTTTTTTTTTTTTTTTTTTTTTT